GAAACCACCTAGCAACCACATAGTAGTAAGTAGTAAAACCATTCAGAAGCACTTACTGCATAGCATGCATTAAAAAAAAACTAGCAACAGCCTTGCAACCACTTTGAACACATATGAAACCACCTAGCAACCACATAGTAGTAAGTAGTAAAACCATTCAGAAGCACTTACTGCACAACATGCATTAAAACACCGTAGCAACAGCCTAGCAACCACTCAAGACACCTTAGAAACCACCTAGCAACCACATAGTAGTAAGTAGTAAAGCCATTCAGAAGCACTTACTGCATAGCATGCATTAAAAAAAACCTAGCAACAGCCTTTCAACCACTTAGAACACATATGAAACCACCTAGCAACCACATAGTAGTAAGTAGTTGAAACCATTCAGAAGCACTTACTGCACAACATGCATTAAAACACCCTAGCAACAGCATAGCAACCGCTCAAGACACCTTAGAAACCACCAAGAAACCTATAGCAGGTTTGAAACCACTCAGAATCCCCAACAACTGCATAGCATGCAAAAAAAAACCCTAGCAACCACTCAGAATCTGTTTTTAATGATTACTATTATTAGTAGTTCATTTGATAATTTACTAAATATTGATTGTCTTTTATCATATTGCTGTCGTCACCTCACATGGTTTATTGTTTTAGTAAAGCCATATGTTCTGCACGCGCTGATTGAAGTCATGTGTTTGTGCGCAGGTGGAGCGTTCGAGGTGAAGCAGCATTCGTTCTTCTGTGATCTGGACTGGAGCAGTTTGCTCCGACAGAAAGCCGAGTTCATCCCTCATCTGGAGTCGGAGGAGGACACCAGCTACTTCGACAGTGAGTGACGGACAGATAGTGTGTGTTTGTGCTGTCGTCTGTTAGTGTGCGTTAGTGAGTAACTCATCCGTCTTTTTCAGCGCGATCAGAGCGGTATCATCACGTTCACTCGTACGATGAGGACGACACCAATGACGATGAGCCAGTGGAGATTCACCACTTCTCCTCTTGCTCGCCACGCTTCAGCAAGGTTAGACCTCTCTGTCTCATGAGAATGATTCTGCCGTTTACACAATCGCAAGGATTATGGGTAATGTAGCCCATTCAACGATTCATCTAGTGCATCTGAATCACAGGTGTACAGCAGCATGGAGCATCTGTTCCAGCTGGAGCACAAGCCTGTGGTGACCCGTCGAGAGCCCAAAGCTCACAGAAAAGATCGCAGTAAGAGAGAAAGTCTAGGCAGCCTGACCCTCCGAGACAAGACCTGGAGAACCGGATCCCCTGAGATGTAAGAAAGACAGAGGGCAACAACATAACAACCTCCCAGAGTAGCCTAGAAACCACATAACAACAACAAAGTAGCACATTTAAAACCACCCAGTACTGCCTAACTGCACTACATGCACTAAAAGCGGCCTAGCAACCACTTAGAAAACCTTAGAAAACCACATAGTATCACATTTAAAACCACTCCCTAGCAACCCTTTCAGAACACCTTGGAAAACACCTAGCAAGCACGAAGTCACACATTTATAACCACTCAGAACTGCCTACCAACTGCATATACTAAAAACACCCTAGTAACCACCTAGCAATGCCATAGCATCCGTTCAGAACACCTTAGAAACCACCTAGAAATGTTTAAAATTACCCAGGACCGCATAGCATACACCAAAAACACCCTAGCAACCACCCTTTCTAGCACCTCACAATGTCTCGAGAAAATATAAACATCTAATTTTGATTAGAGAGACACCTAATCTTCAGTAAACCCCTCTATTTGTCCTGCTGTCTCTGTAGGAAGCGTTTGTCTTGTTCAGAATCGTCTTTCATTGAATCAGACTCCAGTCCTCCCGGGGCGCGCCGGCGTTTCTCAGCGCTGATGGACACGCACCGCTTCGCTTCTCCACTAGAGGGAGACGGTGACGCAAACACACGTCAAACACCCATCAAAACCAGGGGCTCGTCACTAGAGGGCGCCAGCGTGCCCGTCTGCTCCGGACTGGTGGAGTCCAGTTATACGGCATCAGTGGGACCTCCTGGAGGTTATTTGGTTTTCGCAATAAACATAAATAGAATACTTTCATACATTTTACTGTTGTGTTCCTGGGTGTCAATCGCTCATTGTGCCTGCCCAGTGATGTCTCACATTTTATGCTTTATCTTCCTGTTTCTCAGATAAACTCCTGCGGCCTGCTGATGCCACTCCCGCGGTTCCTCTGCACATGCCAGACTCGTTTGGGCCTCGCATCGGAAGTGACCTCGTCTTACGAAGAGCACGACATCATCAGATTCCGACCGACAGCGAGAAACGTAGCGCGACTCGCTCTGGAACCAAAGTCATAAAGTCAGCCTCTGCCACGGCCCTGTCTGTCATCATACCTGCAGGTGAGACGATTTCATTATTATTATTATAATTAACAACAACCAAAAAAAATCACAGCACTTCAACATTAAATTATTCGAATCGAGAAATTATTCTGCATTGTGCGGTTAAAAACTAGCCTAGAGCGCCATCTGCTGTTAAAAAATAAGCTCAGAATCGATTCAAGAGAGAATCGCGATGCCTTCGGAAACTCTCAGAATCGATCCACGAATCGCGATGCACCGATTTATTGTCCCAGCCCTAATAAATACTAAATCAATTTTTTTTTAAGAATTCTTATATATTTTTTCATGCAGATTTTTAAGAAATAAATACTTAGTGTATAGTAAGTCTCTGTAAGTGTATTTTAAGTTTAAAAATGTCAACAACTCACAAAATTGAAACACTACTTTTCATACACTATAGTATATACACTATAAATGCCATCAACCGATAATAAAAAAAACGGTTTTCTTTTTTAGTTTTTGTATTATTTGTGTATACGCTCTATAAAATCGTAGTTTATGTTTAATGTATAATAAAAACAACATTAATTGTACATAATTTGTACATTAATTGAAGAATTGTTTCTAGTCAAACATTATCAAGCATTTCAATATGCGTGGCATTGACGTGATCTTTTGTAATATTATGATGTTTGGTTTCATAGTTGAGCAGCATGGTACGTCACCACTAGCCAGTCCCATGTCTCCTCGCTCCATCTCCTCCAATCCCTCGTCTCGTGACTCATCTCCCAGTCGTGACTACTCACCTACCGTCAATGTCCTGCGCTCACCAATCACCATCCATCGCTCTGGAAAGAAGTATGGCTTCACCTTGCGCGCCATCAGAGTCTACATGGGTGACAGTAACGTCTACAGCGTACATCACATGGTCTGGGTATGGACACATTCTGGAACATTCTTCTCATTTATAGCTAAAGAATGTGTTACATGTGATGATTGACATTGCTTTTGTCCAATCACAGCATGTTGAGTGTGGTGGGCCGGCCCAGGAGGCAGGGCTTTGTGCTGGCGACCTCATCACCCATGTGAATGGGGAGTCTGTGCACGGATTGGTGCACACAGAGGTGGTGGAGCTCATTCTGAAGGTACGGGCATCACAAACACATCTGACTGCTACTTTCTAGAGATATTACTAAACAAATTTAACACGGTTCACTGAATTTTCAGAGTGACAGCAAAGTAACAGTAACGACCACTCCATTCGAAAACACGTCCATAAAGATCGGACCAGCAAGGAAGCTTAGCTACAGAGCCAAGATGGCCAGACGCAACAAGAAGTCAGCCGCAAAAGATGGACAAGAGAGGTCAGAAAAAATGAATAACTTCACATAAATATAGATATCATCTATGTAAATGCTTTACTCATGTGCTTTACTCTTTCTCTGTCTGCAGTAAGAAGCGCAGCTCTCTCTTTCGTAAGATCACGAAACAGTCCAACTTTCTTCACACCAGTCGTAGTCTGTCCTCTCTGAATCGTTCTCTCTCGTCTGGAGACAGTCTGCCTGGATCGCCGACACACAACCTGTCTGCTCGCTCGCCCACGCAGACGTACCGCTCTCCTCCAGACTCCGCCTACCTCGGTCAGAGCTCCTCCCACTGCTTTATGATCTATTAAAAATGCCTGTCAGATGTGGAATCTCATTGGCTGATTTGGTGGTGTCATTTATGCTTGTTTACACTTTTAGTAAATGAATATTTATAGACCAGCGTTTTCCAATTAAATGCCAATGCTAAATTATATATTCAACAATATTATTAATAAACAACTAAATAAATAATTAAACAATATTATTTTATATAAATTGTGTTTTTTTAATGTGTAAATAAAACAAGAAATATATTTGATCTTGTCCAAAATGTTAATAATATTTGTATATAAATCTATTATTTATTATATGTGTTATTTATTATGTGTTTACTTGCATTTTACTCAGTTAAGCCTAACTGACTGAGACTGTGCATGTATGCAGATGCAGGTGCAAAACAGTATAGTCTTGTTTTATATATTTAAAATGCATCATAGCAGTACAGTACTCAAGGTGGCGACAGAGTTACTGTTTAGTGTTTGTAATTATTACAACCCTTGCAACCGTGCTGAGAATGCCAAGCGTACATGAATATCACTCATTATGTGCCTCACAGAATCCAGTGTCTCTGAAGGCCAAGTGTGTTGCTAGAAGCATTTGTTCATGTATATATTCATATACATATAATGCATGACATAAGTATGATTCGGGCCTAAGTTTTCAAGTAGCTGAACAATTTCAATAGTTTTATGCTAGTTATAGACATGCACAAATGTCTGGTTACAAAATAACACCTTTCTAGAGAACAAAAATATATGTGTAACATTGAGTTTTAATTAAAACTTTCTGCCTCATAGCATGTACTTGAGTGACATTTGAGCTACTGAAGATAACATTTCTGTCACGTGTGGTCCCTCTTTCCTTTCCAGCAGACGTGCGTTGAAATGACCTAAATTAGCCTTTGATATTTGGCTTCAGTCAGTGTTGGGTTTTTTGACTGATTGTGTGCCCTTTTCATGTTTCTTTGAGGTTCTGACCCGTTCTGTCCTTGTCCTCTCAGGCACCTCGTCTCAGAGCAGCTCACCGGCGTCCAGCACGCCAAACTCGCCTGCGACATCTCAGCACATGCGGCCGAGCTCTCTTTACGGCCTTTCGCCCAAACTCCACCGGCAGTACCGTTCTGCTCGCTGCAAATCCGTCGGGAACATTCCTCTGTCTCCGCTGGCCCACACGCCATCCCCTACTTCGTCTTCCCCGCCACCCATCGCTGGGCACACTGTCGGCAGCTCCAACACTACTCAGGCCTTCCCCGCCAAGCTCCACGCCTCTCCTCCAATCACACGCCCCCGGCCCAAGAGCGCAGAACCGCCCCGTTCGCCTCTCCTCCAAAGGGTGCAATCAGCCGAGAAGCTCGGCCCGCCCCCTCCGCCTTCATTTCCATCCTCCACTTCTTCCGTGGGCTCGGACCGAAAAGGAGGGCTTTGCGTGTCCATGAGGAAGCATGGTTTGGAGGTTGTGCATGCCGAATACCGCCGGGAGTCGTTCCACTGTGAATATGCCCTCCAAAGCCTGATGGAGATCGAGGGCGAGAACACACCCGGGGCTCCGCCCTCTCCACCCGACCAGATGCCAACACACACACCCGCTCAACTCACAATGAGTCCGTTGAGGCAGCTCGGGAGACAGGACTCGATAGCGGGAAGAGAGTCCGAGGGGAAAGTGAAGCAGCCTGACTCAAGTGATGCCGTTTTAAGGACTGCATCAAAAACCCAACCAGTAGCAACCACTTTGGATCTTAAATCCTCAACCCAGTTTGGTGAGCCACCTCAGAAGGAGAAAGTAGCCTCCAAATCTGAGTCTTCTCAAGTCGTCTCGACAGGGAACGAGGCAGCCAGGAATGCGGGAAAGAGCGAATCACTTTATGCAATGGGATCTGGTCCCAAGGTCCCAGAACGAACGCCAGTTGTCCAGAGCTCTGGAACACAGGAACTCAAACACCATAGCCTTCAAACCAATGGTCCTAAAGGGCTGGAAAATGGCAAAGACATGGGAAAGATTCCAGTGAAAGAGAAAACTGCACAGACAATGGCTCCAGAGGCAAGCAAGTCAGGTAAAGAACCTCTAACCATTGAGGGGACTGGACCTAGTTCCGCTGGTGCAATGAAAGTCTCAGCAGCAGTTCCTGTCAAGTCCAAAACTATTGAAGAATGGGTTCAAACTCCATCGGGGTCAACCAGAGGCCCTCAAGAGGAAAGATGTCGCCTGGAAGCGGCTGAAGAGTCCCCAGCCTCTCCGTCTTCAACCACCAGGTCGCCTTGCACAAGCAAATCACGTGCCGTATCTCCTGGTGACAGGTCCAGCTTCGTGACGCAGCTCACCAGTGTGGCTAAAACCGTGCTCGGGCCGATGAAGTTGGGCTCTCAGGATGGTGGGAAGGCCAAGGACAGCTCCAAAACCAACGAGGACAAACGAGCAGCCACATTGGGAAAGTCTGAGACTTCGTCTGTGAGTCGCCGCGGGTTGACGGGAACGTGGCCCGGTCCTGGATCATCAAAGCCTGAAAAATCATCGAAGAGCTCTTCCAAGCATTTGTAATATTCTTAACGGGAATATTCTGTTCGGAACTTTAAATGGGATGCGTTCCCTGTAATTGTCCAAATGCAGTCTATTCAAAAGACTCTACAGCCATCAAACCAAGATATAAACAAAAAACGTAAACAAGTAAAGGTGCTTCAAATATGTCTGTTTGTACATATGCCATAAGAATATATGCACCATCATTTGTGGACGTAGAATAAACCAGTATGTCTCTCTAGATGCATGTTACATGTATATTGTCAATAGAAGAGTCTAAATAATAAGATATGAAAAATGAAAGACCTAATGCTAGTGAACACTGCACATCCAATCATTCCTGCCCGGCCTGTAGAGGGCATGATATGTCATTCATCACCATATCAACCAATCAGTTTGTCAGATTTAGAAAGGAGAGGTAGTTAAAGTGTCTACCTAGTGACCGACAACATAGATCTAAATGATCTCAGTTCAGTACCTCAGCTATACTGTTAAACTGCCAACAGTAGCGCTATACTTGAGGCAACAGAATGCCTAACTAGAGGTTTGGGAGGGTTACACTGGTGGAAAAGGGAAATGATTGTTGCACAAGGACAGAACCATGTGTATAAGTGCTTGTTTCTGCTGTCTTAATTACATTTGCACTGGAAATGCCCAGCAAAAGTCAACATGAAATCAATTTACTTCTTAATGGATTGCTATGTTATTTAATCTGCATACACCCTCACTAAGGTCTGTAGTCAAATAGCTACTTAGTAGGAAAATGCAATACAAGACTGACTCCTGCATTTTTGCTTAAAGGTGAAGACCCTACTCAATGCATGTTTTGCAAGATTCCCCTTTCTGTCAAACGTATTTTATTGGACGGTCCAGCTTTTAATGTATGTAGAAAACTCTTTTATGACGTGAACTCACTTAAAGAGTTATTTAGTGTAATTTTGCCAGAAAAAAGTTTTAGAATGTTAATGTAAAAAATATTGTGTAATATAACTTGTGTTTGTTTGTTTGCTGGTTTTTATTGTATTTGATATACTTGTATTTTTTTGCCATGAAAATAGCCTAAGATGCTGACTTGGCATTAAATAAAAATATACTACTACTAGTAGTAGGAAAATGCAGCCTTTTTGTCAACTAGTTAGTGGAGTAATGTAATGCCAATTAGCAAAATGGCAGTAATAGCATATAAACATAGATTTGAAAGCATGACCGTTATGGAAGTAAATTGGGTTGCAGATGTCGTTTCATGTTGACTTTTATGTGGATGAATTTTAATATCTTTGGAAAGAAGCAAGGAGAGTGTATATTAGTTTTAATTTGCCACTCTTGAGACTGGAGGGAAAACCTCAAGAATGGCATTGCTAAGAAATTATATTGAGATTATTAGATGAACTCTATGAAGAAAATGGGTCACTATAATGTCATCGTGTTCGATTATATATATTATAGGCCAGTAAATGCACTGTGGATTATACACTTGAATTCTTACAAATCTGACGAAGCCTGAGTTATTCCTTAGTATATGCAGAAGAGTTTGTGAAGTGTGAGGTGGTACATGTGTAGATGTGTTTCATTTTAATCCATTCAGGGCTTTTAATTCACTTTTGCTACATTGTGTCCAACTTTTATAGGAATTTATTACGTAGTAGGTTGACATGTCTAGTGGTCTGCGAGAGATGCAACGATGTCCTGGAAGGGGCTTCATGTTACATGTGGAACTGATCCAATCTGTTTACACTTTAAATTACATGGTCACTCTCACGTTTGTGTGAACGTCCTTTGGAGACTCCGTGTGTACTGTGTAGTGAATCTAGTGATGTCTTAGGAGTGTTTGGTGCCACATTAATGCAATGATTTTCTTCCAAATCAGCTGATCCTTGATCCATGATTTACTGTCTTCTGCCAGTAGAGGACTTTACACTTTACCCAAATATATTAGCCCGATAATTTTCTTTGGTATTATCATGTTTTTTTTTTATAGATATTGTAGCATGATAATACAATTTTTTAGACATATACCTTGAACATACATGGATATGTTAATGATTGAGTGGTATCTATGATCCATTGTATATATCAGGTACCATCATTGTACCATGGTAACGCCACAGTACTTTTTATGAGGATGTCATCTTTTATAAGTTTAATAATATTTGGGTAGGGTGTATATGCCCTTATTGTGTTTTCCGATTGATCTGTGCTGTGAAGTGTGTGTATGTAGGATAGATCGTGTCAGTTTCCGTCTGTGTTTAGATTCTGTAGGCATAGCGTTTGCCTGAGACACCGTTACTCACACAATGAGTACAAGCAGTGTTACAGAATGCACTTTATTGATTTATCTCTTTGTATTTATTTATTTGTTTATAACTTTATTTGAAAGATGTTCACCCTGTTTGATTATTAAAAACTGCTGCTTTGCATAAATCTTCCTCAAACTGTTTTACCTGTGATTTGTTTGTTTGTTTGTTTGTATATTCACTTCTTATATCATTGTGTATTTACAGTTTTTTTTAATGATTTCTCACCTCAGGCAATGTCATAAACTAATGCAATTAAAAAAAATAATAATAAAGTGCAGTAATAATAATTAAGCCGATTGTTTGTTTTGTGTTACCTGTCCTCTTGCGTGTGTTTGTAGATAAATGTTTAAATGATACATTAAATATTGGTTAGCAGGATTAGGGACTAACAATGTCAAGATTATAGAGTTGGGATGTCCTGTACAGAGCCCATTCAGGGCTTTTCAGAGACACTAAATGATTGGATGTTTCACCTTGACCACTTCTTCTCTTTGGTCTTTAAAAACGACTGACATTAATTTAGTGATCAAGTGTAACACCCTTATGGAAATATGATACTATTTTGTAATTATCATTTAAATCTGACTAATTTTCAAATTGTCATAAATCAACATCTCAGGAAAATGTTATGGGGTTTCAAATCAAAATATGAGCTTCTGTTATGAAACAGGACATCGATTTCATACATGTCCACTTTAGAGGACACCAGGACTTAAAGCATGTTTATTACACATTTTGGGAGACACTACAAATTAACAGAGAAAAAATTATGTATCAATATTCCTATTAAATATTAGATATTATTATGAAAACCTTGCTAATTATTGCTCTCATTATTGTACTTATTTGCCCCGAAAACATTGATATGCAAATTAGATACAGTTTATTGATACATTTTATATAATGGAAAAACTTGTTTATGGCCATTTTACACACATTTTGCATGAAGAAATCAAAAATAAAAAAAATCTTTCATAACATAGTTGAGAATCGTCTTTATATAAAGTTTGGTATAAAAAAACAGAAAATTGATTTGTGATTAAAGCAAAAATCTCACTGTTTTTGCCTTTTCATGTCTATTCGTGTCTTTTTATTTCTTAAAGTCCCGATGTCTTCTACAGAGGACATGGCATAACATATGAATAAAATATCATTTTTCCAAAATTGTATATTTCAAATTTTTTCTTATGCTCTAAACAATGTAATGACAATATACTAAATTCACAAAGCAGTTTTTTCCTGGTAGTCAGGAGGACATGATTAAACCCAGCTATGATGATTCTAGCTAATACTTATGAGGACATTCCCAGTCCTACTTACATAGTCACCCATTTGGCCAATCAGAGAGCGCTGAGGAACCAGACAGCCAATCAGAGGACAGATACCAGCTCCGTTGCTGAGTGAAGGAGGAAAGGGGCGGAGCTACAGTCAGGCAGTGAACTCGAGGCAGTGGCGTCGTGGTGTGTTTGTAACTTACTGCGGAAAGTTTCCAGCTGAAATATTGCGATATTCACAATGTCATGACAGTTAAAGCAGCCTTGAAGGTAAGTATTTTACCACGTCATTCAAATATAGTCGCCTTCGTGGCGGAAAGTAACCCGTCTTTTTATCCGAGAGGTGAATCTACACAGGATTTCCGCATCAACAAACCTCAGGCAACAACAAACGTATAAACTCACTCTCACACCTGAAATTAACTGTATTTCTCGAAAATAATTACACGAGATATCGTACATTTGAACATGGTACCAATACCACAGTATGTACTACGCTGTGCCGTGTACATTCAGTACCATGGTAAATCTCAGAGTACCATAACCTCCCATTAGTTTACCATAGTAGTGCCACAATGCCGTCTTTAAAATGAAATCATCACGTGTATTTAATGCATAAACACGTAATAGTTATCTAAGACTTTTATTATTGTAGTGTCTTGATAGGAGTTTGGTCATAATGTGGCTTAACATTTGCCTTTGACACATTTGTAAGATTCCTTCAGTCACATGGGTGTCACATGGCTCAGTATTTCTCTCTAAAGAGCTGTGGCTACCTCTGGTGACACATTAGCCTTTATTTCACTGTCCCACAGCTTCACTGGTACCTGTACCAACGTCCAGAAGAGCCAGAGCGGCTCGCATCCCTCCTCTGATTGGACAGCAGGGACTCCGGACGTCATGGTAACAGTATCCCTCGGATCATGGATGTGAGTGATGAGTTTGACAGCGGGATGGAGGCCACAGATGACCTCGCGTCGTTTGAGGTGGTCAACCTGTCGAACCCGGGCCTGCTGGATCTGGGCACAGCCGTCGACGGACACGTCCAGGAGTCAAGGGACAGGACCAAACTCAAAACAAAACTCATTTCAGCGTGGAATAATCTCAGATATGGAGGTGTGTGTGATCAGTTTTTCATAAAAACGTAATTTTTTTGGTGTCTTAACATTTTTATTTCTTCCAATTTAAGTACTCGAGAAACATTTTATTATCATCAGTTATACAGTTATGTTGAAAACAGTTCCATCCAGAATCCATTTGATGTTTTAGGTCTCAGGATTCTTTGATGAATAGAAAGTTGAAAAGAAGGAGCATTTATTTGAAATAGAAATATTTTGTAACATTAGACATGTTACATCTATAATGTAACTTTTTTATCAATGCAGTGCATCCTTACTGAATATAGCTATTGATTTATTTAAATAACTTGTTATTAAGTTTGGGGTCAGTCATATTTCTCAAATGTTTAAAGAAGACTCTTCTGCTCACCAAGGCTGCATTTATAGGATCAGAAATACAGTAAAAACAAACAAACAAAAACTGTGAAATATCATTATAAAAATAACAGTTTGCTATGTGAATATATTGTAAAATGTCATTTACAGCTGTGATCAAAGCTGAGTTTTCAGCTTCATTACTCCAGTCTTCAGTGTCACATGATCTTTCAGAAATCATTCTAATATGATGATTTGCTGCTGAATATTTTTGTGGAAAGTGGAAACTGCTATATTTTATTTTCCAGGATTATTTGATGAATAGAAAGTTCAGTAGAATAGCATTTATTTGAAATACAAATATTTTGCGACATTTGAAGTGTATTTACTGTCACATTTAATCAATTTAATGTGTCCCTGATGAAGAAAAGTATTAATTTCTTCCAAAATTTTGAACTGTAGTGTATATTTTTTATATCAAATGATAGCTGATAGATTTGTAGTCGTTTGATAGTTCTACAGTTTTGACCTTGACCTTCCTCCCTCTCTAAACGACTCGTTTCACTGAACCCACATTTTGAAGTCAGGCTCTACTGCACACATTGTCAACATGAATCTGTCATCTTGACACACTGTTTCTGTGCAGGCTGGTCTCTGAAGAGCAAGCCGCGTCTCAGTATGAGCAGCCCCGTGTGTCTGCTGGGACAGTCCTATCAGCTGAGCTACAGCGGTAAGCAGGACAGGTGAGTGAGGGGTCGCTGTGTCGTGCTTTCACTGTAAGCTTGTGTTTTTTTTCTCCCAGGAGAGCGGGAGAGTTTCCGGCGGGTGTCCTCCTCTCTGCTGTGGATGACCTACAGGAGAGGTTTCCCGCTGCTGGACGGCTCGGCCCTCACTTCTGACGCGGGATGGGGCTGCATGCTCCGCAGCGCACAGATGCTGTTAGCTCACGGACTAATGCTGCACATGATGCCCGCGGGTACAAACACAATGCATGGACTTAACCCTATAATGCATTCAGACCTTTTTAAGCTGCGAGACATTCTGAATTTTCAAAATGTTTCATAGGGTTTAGTATGGGATTAATTAATATTGGTCTGACTGAACTTGGAACATGTCTGTATAAAGACTATAATAATACATATCAGGACAAAAGACCATTTTTGACCTGGAAGAAATTGTAATAGTTTGTAAAAAAAAAAAAGAACTTTAGTACTTTTTTAAAACATATTTTTTAATAGATATATCCCTTTTTTGAAAGAAACTTCAGAAGAAATTTTAAATGTTTGTTTAAAAAAAAAATAAAAAAATTCGGCTTTTCTGACCACATTTTAAAAATGTGTAAAGCCTGTTTAATATTTTGTTTTGACATTTTCCCCTTTTTTCTTTATTTTCTTTGTGTTTTTGTTTTATTTTATTGATATATTACCATATAAAAAAATATTATTGGATTCAGCGTTTTCATATAACAATGTATTCAAATAAAATTTTTCATAAATATGGCGTGTGTGTGTGTAAAGTGTGTATATATATATATATA